TAACAAGTTTCTCGGGAATTAGGATGAAAAAAATAAAATCTGCAGTCTTCCTGGTAAACTGAGATATGAGATAATCTTTCACCAAGGTGCATTAATGTTGAGGCTGAAGGTAAATCTAGATTCTTCAGTTACAGTCAGTTTGAAAAGCATTAATCCTCTCCCACAGTCACTGGGAATGGCTATGCCAGGAACTACAGGAGGATGCTCTGTGTTAGCAGTTGAACAGGACATAGATGTTTGGTCACCACCTCTCCATAAGCCCTTGACAATATTTTTGAAAGGTTTATCAGTGGATTCTACTAATTGCTCTAACTGACTAATAGTTACAGCTTCACACCCTTTGTGGCTGGGAATACCTCTTAGCTTGGAGTCATTGCATGGAAAGGCAGCATAAGGTCCCCAAGACAAGACTATCATTTCAAGGTGGTGTGAGGGCCAAAAACTTCTGGATTTGTTTTCAACAATCATAGTAGCACAGTGGGTAGGATGAACTGGAGGCCTAGTTTATCCAGGGATGTTGATAACAGAGTGAGACCACCTATGAAATTGGCCAGCAAGGACAGGTAGAGGAGGAGGATGGTCCTACTTCTGAAATGTACCTGTAACTCCACTCTTCTCCTCCTTACATCCTGTGTATCAGTCATCTGATCATTTTTTTTAAAAACTGCCTAAATATATACAAGGATTTGTCCTTCTGTACCTGTCTTGTATGGCTGTGACCTGTTTTTGCACAGAACTGCAATAAAACAAGAGTCTGGCCCAGCAGCAGGGTGTTCAGTGACGTGGTCTGATGACCATTCACCTGATACTCATGCAGTGGAGCAGTTACCAGCAGAGTGAGGACAAACCCTGTGGAGACTTGAATTTTGTGAGTGAGATAGAAGAGGGACCCATAGCCTTTCCCACTGACCTGTAGTGGGAAACTTTGCCCCTTCCAGTGGAGCTGTGAAGTGTCACCCGCTGTTCAGGGTCCAGCACCAGGGCAGGATGTGCATACCACACCATTTCATGCATGTGCAGCCCCATCAAAACAAACTCATTCCAGAAAACACTTCAGGTTTTGAGTGTGATAGACCCAAATCCTATCCTTTCCTTTTTTTTCTTTATGCTGCTGTTTTTTTCCTGCACAATAGTTACATCAGTGTTACAGACAGAGATAAGTGTAATATCTTTTAAAGAAAGTAATTTTTAATCTAACTTCTGAAATGAAGCAGGTCAGATCTGTTTTGTGCTTGATTTCAAATGCCCTTTTGCAGAAATGTCGAAGTTTGGTCTCAGCATTTCCATCACAAACATACTTAAAAAATCACAGACAAGGTAGAGACCTTCTCATATTTCAGTTTGTTTAAACCATCTTGACATGATCATTTGTTGCCATTATAAATAGTGAGAATTGGGCTGCTGGGTAAAACACAAACACATAGGAATATATCCTTAGCTAGTTCTTAGCTGGAATAGGACGTGCATTTTGCAGCACCACCTTGGAGTGGGAAAACATTTCAGGATGGCAACAGGACTCTGATCAGTTTAGAGAAGGATCTCCTAATGGGAGAAATGAAGACAGCTGACCATTTTCAGTGCGGTGAAAACACTGCTTGGGCCTGTTTTCCTACAGCATCCACTGACACTCTTGAAAAGAGGATCCTGAACCTTTGTAGCACACAGCCTGACTAGTTGAGTGCCTTGGCTGCCTCTTGCATTGCCCATGACTGGCTTCCTTCTCCTTTGTCCTTGGTCTGTCCAAAATCCTGCTGCTGAAGTGCTCTGCCCTTCCTGTTGATGTGGCCATGTTGCTCCTGTTGAATGCCCTTGCTGGGTTTTTATTTTCCCATTCCTTCTCCTTGCCATTATTTTCTGTCTGGTTTTCCTCCTGTGCGATTTCTCCATTATCTGTGTCTCTAATACTCTCTTGCTCCTTGGTCACCCCTATGCCTTGAGCCCCTTCTGGTCTGTGCTTTCTGTGCTTCTCTCTCCTACTTCTCCTGCTGGTGTAGTTATAGGATTTAACTTTTCTGTGCTTCTCTCTCCTACTTCTCCAACTGGTGTAGTTATAGGATTTAACCTTTCCAAGTTGTATGTCTTGGTGTCCAAACTTGCAAAGCATGTACCTTGCTCTGGATGTTTTCTGTTGAACCACAGTTAGGCACCTGCACCATGCTTGTACCCCCCAGAGGTGAAGGAAACCTCATAAAATCAGGCTTATCATGGAGAACTGGGTGGCCCTCTGAAAAGTGCCACCATGCAGAGCTTTCCAAATGGATACAGAGGCAAAGAATGAGGTCTCAGATTGGACTGTGGTCCTCAGACCCCCTGTAAAACAGATCCTTGTGTTCATGGCAGAACAGTCCTTGCCCAGCAACACTATCAGTGCATCAAGAGCTTTTCCTGCTCGTTGACTAATGATCCCCATTTTTGGACCATCTTCACTCCAGCAAGTGCCACCAGTGAAAATTTGCTCCCACTGATAGCTGATCAAGCCCTCATGGCTTCTTTTGTATGACCCCACTGACCAGAGGGGCTACTAGTGACACTCTAGTTTTATATCACTACTGCTTCCTGACCTAGGGGAAAAAAAACAGTTTAAAGAAATTCTTCAGATTTTTTTACTTCTCTTCAGCGCTTTGAAACCGAGAGACCTCTATTTTTCATAATTTAAACTCCTGCCTAACTGGGTGAGTGTTTGAATTCCTAGACTATGACAAAATGCTAGCGTGTGTCTGCCTGAAATGTCGAGAGGATCTTTAATAACCTCCATCCAGCAGATTCGGCGTTAAAAGCTTTGCTCGAGACCAGGAGTGAAAACACTACAAACAAGGACCCAGCGGTGGGGAGGGAGGTGCCCCACTCCCTGCTCCCCCTGGCCTGGAGGAAACACGGCAGGGTGTGCCCCATGCTGCTCGGGTGCCGTCCCCTCCTGCCGCCGCGCCGGGGCTGGCAGGAAGCTCTCAGGTGCCTGCCTGTTATTTATTTTGGCTACGAGATGTTGTTCTTCTGCAGTAGCCTGCAGACCAAAAATTGAATGCACAGATGACCCCGCCAAGCAGCCCGTGTGTGCCCGGCGACTGCTAGGAATGAGGGATTGCACAACAGAGCTGCACGGAGAGCACAACTATTTCTTGGCTTAATTTGTTTCGTGTGAAGCACGGCGGCTGAGGGGTGAGCCCTCTCCTTTCCCTGGAGAGGTCCTCAGAGGACTCTCCGAGGCAGAAGATTCTGCTGCAGCGCTGCGATAAGAGCCCATCGCTGCCCTTTGGCTCTCTTGTGAAGTGTCCAGTGCAGATCGAGGGATGAGATTGCAGGAGATCTGCCGTAGGTGTCAGGTTTTTCTCTACTGCCATTGAGGTTTTTGACCAAGAAAAGAGCAGCCATTTGACAAGCCCAGTGATTTTGCTTTTGCATTTCCAGAGCACGCAGTCGTGACACCATTTTTTCCTTTATTTAATTCCCATCTTGGAACCTGCGTGCCAAGTTTTATCCCATCATGATGCCTTTCTGGCACGGCCTGAAACCCCTTGCCTTGCAAAGAGCAAGACAACCTTGACCGTGAGGTTGTGAATGGGGATTTATGACCAAGACTCCTTTTACATACACTTAGCCCAACTTTACAGCTACAAACAGATGATGGTGATAAGGTGAGCAGGTTGTTTAAAGTTTTGCTGGAATGCAAGCACAGTTCTCCTCTTGGCACCAGGAATCTGACTTGTCTGAAGCAAAAACTCAGCTCTGCAAAAATTGTCATTTGTAAGACCCTGATCCAAGTCCTGTTGGAAGCAGGAACATTTATGTTGGGGATGTAGGTTAATAACACCCCCTTTTCTTTACTATTATTTCTTAATGTCTTTCCACTGTATTTTTTTTTTTTGAAGAGCAGCTGGAAAAAGTCCTAGTCACACATGCAAAAAATTCCATGTTTCCAAAAATAATGAAATTTAGTGTCTGTCCAGTGCATTGAAATGCATTGAGAAGCCATCCTGGCTGTGCATGCATACAGTGATTCCGAGACACCAGTTGTGGCCTGGTGTGGTTCTCAACCATAAAGTGCAAGAGACATCCAGAGCAGGAGCTTTGCCCCAACTCTTGGGCATGATGTGACTGATGAGAAAGGGTTAAAGCATCAGTCCTGTGGCATTGGGTATCCTGAGATGAGTGCTCTGGGGTGGTTGCTGGTAGTGTAAGCCTTTCCCACCCCTCTGCCTTCAGGCATGTGCCCAAGGGATGCTGGCATCTCCCACCTCCTCTCCTGTCCCATGCTCAGGGTGCCTCTGCTCATGTCCCCAGCCTGGCTGGTGACCCAGCAAGGGCTCTGCCACCTTCTCAAGTGAAGTCAAGGTGCTTTTAGAGCTGAGGCTGTCTGCTGAGCCCTGCAGATGTGCCTCATGTGGTTTAACCACCACTGTCTGCACTCACTGCATGTGCCGCAAAGCCTGTATGTGACGTAAAAGCCACGGACCATCTGTGCTGCTTGTTTTCTGGTCTGAAAGGAGGAAAATGCATCCTGGAGCCACTGCCTTGCTTGCTTTCTGCTGTGCCTCCTGAGCTGGAGTGGGGCCGGTTAATAAACATGATTCACTGTTGTCTTTTAGCTGTCAGGGCTGGAGTGAAGCTCTTGGTGCCAGCAGGTCTAGCTCTTCTCACTCGAGGGCTAATGCGTTTTGCTTTGGGAAATAGTGACACCCAGCACCAAGCGTTAGCTTTACCTCACGAATAGGCCATATACAATTTCCAAACTACTCAACAATAAAACTCTTCTGTCTCATGCCTTGGTGCCAGCTGTTTAATTAGGAATAAGCAGAGGCTGGGTTTTATTCGTACGAGTAACAGAGGATGTGGTTTTTTTTCTCTCCCCTTTCAGCTTGCAAAAGACAAAGAGCGCCTGCAAGCCATGATGACACACCTGCATGTGAAGTCAACTGAACCAAAAGCCACCCCTCAGCCCGTAAGTACCAAACTGTGCTGAAAGCAAAGAACAACCCTCACAGCAAACCTCTCTTTCCTGTTCCCCCCCGGAGCGTGTGGTGCAGGGTCGGGCATGGGTAGGAGATGAGAAGCACAGTGGGTTTCATCATCCCACTCTCTTCAGCAAGTTTGAAAGTTAATTTTTGCTCCAAAGCTGATGCGTTGGGCCTTTTTCTGGCCTCACGTACTAACCTGTAAGTCACTTTGCATCTGCCTGACTTGCATGAAATCTTAGGAAGTGTTAGGAAGGAGTCATAATTAAATTATATTTGGTGTATTTATTTTGCTTTCCCACTGACAGACATTTACAGTAGAAGAGAGTCTAACTGCACGTTTTGATGATAATCACAGTTACTGAGTATCAGGTTTTATACTGTTGAAACTGAGCAGGGAAACTTTCTCTGCCCCAGAGTGCCCTTTGAAAAGGGAGGCATGGGGGAAGTGAGTGGCTTTGTAGCCCAAGAAAACTCCTGGATACCCCCAAACCCAGGCAAATCCCCCATCTCCTTCCTTGACTGAAATGACTCTACTTGAGCTCTTGTTTTCTCCCAACCTCTTAATGTTGAAAATGTTCCTTGGAGCTTCCAATGATTATTCAAAATGGAGAGAGTGCTTTGCTTCTTGATTTTAAGATTTGTAAGATTTAAAGGTACACTGGCTTTATTTGATTTTGCTTTGAGTCATTGTGTGAAAATTAATTGAGCGTTGACAATCTATAGTTAGTACCAGCAATTTTAATCAATATGCAATGATGCAGCATAATGACAAAGTATTGGTTTATCTGTTTTGACTGATTTTTTTTCTATAAATAAAGCAAACACACACCCATATATGTGTGATTTATGGTGATAGAAATAAAAAGGAGTCAGACTATTAACCCAGCAAATATGGTAGCCTGCCAAGATGCAGTTGGTAGACAAAATTAATGTCTGAAACAGAACACATTACAGAGATAGAGAACATAAAATCATTAAACACTTCGCGCACACATTTTTACTAGAAAAGGATTTCTCAGTTTCCATGTAGTTGGAAATAAATGGCTGCAGAAGTGCATAGGGAGGCTACTAGACAGAAAATTGCAGGCTATTCAGCAACACTGGAGCAGATGTCAAAGTCAACGGGAAATTTCGTTGCCTTTTGGAGAGAGTTGAGTGGTAGGTATAAACCCTTCCATTTAAGCTGTTGAGATGCCTGAAATTGCTTGATCCAGTGGACACCAGCCCTCTGGAGTAGAAACTACTGACAGTGTCTATAAAAATAGCGTTCTTCTAGTTCCTCACATCCATCTCAGCCTGAATGCAAATGCTTCAGCTCATTGTTGGCAAAGTGTGTAGACCCAACAGAATGGGGAGGAGGTTTGGTTTCTATAGCTCTTACTGGATTAAAAATTAAAACAGCGGAATAATCTGGGAGTCTCAAAGCACTCTGCCTTGAGGCCTTTCATAACAGCGGTGCCCCTCAGGAGGAAGGATTACAAACTAAAGGGAGGAAATCATCAGAAGGCGAGTGGTGTTTGGCAAGGCAGCTCGTGATCGATGCTGGGCCGCGGAGGGCAGGAAGCTTTGGTGGGTCTTGTAGGCTACGGAGATACCAGGCGGTGTCGCCATGAAGATTAGTGTTAACAGCTAATAAACAGGGAAAAGCAATGGGAAAAAAAATGTGAACACGGGGGGAAAAGGGCTGTCTTGATTAGTATTAAAAATGTTTTACATTCTGGAAAATTATAGCTTTGTTGGGGACCTCCTACTAAATTTATTTTTAACTGCTCTATTGAAAATTCTGTACCACTAGTCAACATTATCTCTCAGTTGCTCAGCACAGTGTTTCTTTATTAAAAGAAATAGGCATGAATATTTTGGACTGAAAAATTAATAGCTTTTGAATTCATACACAGCAGGTTTTCTTTTGCAAAGAAGTCCAATATCGCTGCACAGCACTTCTATAACCATTTATTTAGAGTCCAAGTCAAACCTTTGACAGCTAGAGCAGTGTTACAAGCCAACATAAAGAACTCCAAGATGTAAACCAACAATAGGCAGTCTGTGTGAGGTTTGCCATTGTCAAATACATAGATTGTTTGGATTAGTTTATGTAAATGTACTGTTGTATTACCCTTTGGAAAAAAAAAGATCACATTTGTGTATGAAAAGTGGTTTCGTTCACAGGCAGCATTATAAATTCCTTATCCTTTAACTTACATGTTAGAAGTAAAAATTGGTGCCTGACAGGCCTATATTGTGTGGCACTCTGTTGTTGGATTGAAACTGCCTTCTTTTCATTTATTGAAATATAGAAAAATTTATTATAGATACCATCTGATAAATCAGAAATTATTAAAATATGTATAGGTGAAGCATTTGAAAATTAATTATAAAATGTAGAAGTATAGTGTTTTGCATAAATTGTGCTTTCCTAGTGAAAAAAATACACAGGCATTGCATAGACTCTGCCAGACCCTCGTCCTTTTAACTCAGTGGGATAGGACTTTGGTAAAAAGATCTGATGACCATTATTGCACTGCAAAGTATTCTTTACATCCAGTAATTAATTTTTTTTTCTGCCAACATAACTAATGCAAGGTGTATGTTAGAATTAATATATTATGGTACTTGGGTGATTTTAAAGGAAAAAGCAGCTGCAAATCCAAACATAGCAGTGAATTGGGATTTAAAATTACAGCCTCTTCATGACTGAGGAAGTGTTTTTATTCTACTTAAAGGATCTTAGTGCTTGTTTTAAACTATTTTGTTACTGGCATGTACAGTGGTGACTGAGTGTCTGTGTTAACCACACTGACCAGTGGTACCATCTTTGTCTTTTGGGCTTTGGGCAGTAGCTGAGTGGATGGTGTTGGACCAGTTTGGACCAGTTGGAGCACAGCCAGGGGCTTGGTGGTTGTGCATCAATTCAAAACTCACCCAGCTTTGGGGAAGGGTTGCTTGTCTGGTCTAGCCATGTCCATCCATCACATCCTCACCTTTGGGTGGCTTTAGCTCCTTGCAGTAATTGTGAGCTTGGGAAGGATGGTGGAGTGGCCTCTTTGCATTTCAGCCCACCAGGACATCTGTTCAATAAAGCTCTTTAGTCCTACTAAAGCTGATGAGATTTAAGCACGTTCCTATGTAGAGTAGTGGTGGATAGCCCAAATCATTGGCAGACGGCAGCGTAGGCAGGGAGGTCACTGTGGGTGTCTGGTGTGCTGTGAGGAGCAGCTCTGCTGGTGGGGGAGAGCACACCAGGAGCTTGGGGCAGTGCTCAGGACCACCTTCAAAAATGCCCAGCTTTAGAATTAGAATGCCCAACAGCAACACTTTAGGAAAAAACGGAGCAGCCTCACAACTTAACACTTGAAGCAATCAACGTTGTTTCCATTCCTGCCAGCTTGTTGTTTTGGTGGGACTATAGGGCCTGACTAAAGTGAGAACAAAGCTGAGGCAGACTATGCTGTGACATGTTTTGGTAAGGTGATTTTTTTTTTCAAGGTAAAAAAACCAAAACCACAACACAAAAGCCGGAACAACGATTTCTCTAGAATTGTCATCCTGGTTTTGCTATTAAGATACCTTCCCCGACATGCTATTTTCATCGGTGTTAGCGATCAGCATAATGGGTTCAAATGGAAATGTGCTTTCTTTGCGGAGGATTAACTTATGTTGAAGTTCATAGGAAGGGAAGGAGAAGGAAAAAACATCAACCAACAAGTAATTCTTCATACTAGGTGCTATAACCATCTTTTAAAAATAGACAGAAAACTTTTATAGACACTTCTGGCACTTTAAATAAGATGCACTGCTAGATATCCCTTCTTTAATGTATTTTTTTTGCCCTAACCATAGCAGTTATGATTGTTTTGAAATACTGTTTTTAGCAACTGTAATAACAAAGCATTAAAAAAAAAAGAGTCTTTTAACTGTTGAGGTAATGACTGAGCATTTTAGCTGCTGTAGCCGTACTTTATAGTTTGAAAAAAATAACGATACGCGGCAATAAAGAGAGATTCTCAAGCACAACAAAAGCTGTTTTTATATACTGGTTTTCATTAAGTCTCACTCCTCAGCTTCGGTTTCCTTAGTATTCCTGCCAATAACAACACCTGCTAAGTGATTGCTGCCTGCCAGGCTCTGCATCCAATACACTAATGTGTCCAGGCTGAAACAGGGAGAGGAAGACATAGCATTTAACAAAGTTTTAGGCCCAGTATTCCTTCTCTCTCCCACCCTTGGTGTCAAGAAAAGGAGTTTCTGCTCCAAAGTGTTTCAGCCCCAGGAACTTGATGCAGATAAATCCTCAACCCCAACTGGGACCAGAGCAGCAGCATCCATTGCAGAGGAGTCACTGCCCTACAGCGGTGGGTATGGCCCCACAATGACACTTAGACATATATATATATATTTCTTGCTTGCTTTTAAAAGAGTTTCAGAGCTATTTTATGTGCAGCCACTATTGTCATGTAAAATGTTTACACAAAAAGAAGTCATACTTAGCCCTAGTGGGAGAGCCACTTACTGGAAATCCATTTTACAGGGTGAAGGAGAGGGTTACCTCTCTGCCTTGTTTATATCTCAAGGAAAAAAAGAAAATGACTCAGTTTTCACCTTTAATAGGAAGACATGACTGTTCCTTGAAAGGGAAGGTTAATAATAAAATCCTAAGCAGGATATTGAATGTTGAAGCAATTATGGCATTTATGATGAAGTCAAAACAGTATGAGGAAATGTTCTCAAAAAACCAAAACTGAACAAAGCAACCAACAAGGTTCAGTGATTGAATTTGCAGAATTTTAGAAGCTAAAACTGTTGCGGGCTTTGGTGGTTTTTCTGTTTGCTTTTTTCCTTCTTGTTTTTGGGTTGGTTGTTTTTTTTTGAAGGCTGGAGGAAATCCTCCCTTCCCCCATCCCAGTTCAAACATTACAGAAACATTTAACTCCTTGGTGCAAGGGCTGTCCTCTAAGAGTGCCCACATTGTGCCTTGCTGCAGTGCAAGAGTTCTTGCTTGTTGAAGTGCTCACTCTGTGACTTTGGTTCCTTCCCCTGTGCCAGCAGTGATACCTCATCCAAAAATTACAGTATGTGGGAAACAGGCTGTGTACAAAATACCAATGTGAACAACTCTTCTAATCATAGTAACTTGTTTTTAAATAGCAAATTCAAACAGGGAGAAACCGTGTCAAGTTTCCATCAGGAAAAGAAACCCTCCCAGCCCAGTCCCTCCCTGATCTTTGCCCTGCACAACCATCCACAGCCACTTCCACGTTTCTAATTGACGCTAATATTAAGATTTAATAGTTTACCATTCAGATTAATAATTCAAGATGGCAACAAAAGCAACACCATTCATAATTTGTTATTCTGCTCTAATTCACAACCGGTTTTTCAGCCTTGGTGCTGTCGATGCAACAAAGAAAGCGGCAGCAAAGGACTGCGAAGGGAGCACAGCCCTCTCCTCCCTTCCCCTGGCTCGGGTTTGGGGAACCCAGCTGGAAGAGGAGAGTGTCATCAAATAAAACACGGAAAAAGGAAAAACTTCGCTAGCGATGGACAAGGTCGTGTTTCATTAACTTGTTGGTTCAGGCTCACAAATGGTCGTCGGAGGTGAAACGCGGCAGACTCGCTGCGTTCCAGCTTTTTGTTCTCTCTTTCCTCACAGACTGCAGTCATGTTTAATTTGGAAACTGGGCTCCTTTGGCAAATTAGCAATTAGAACAATTTTGTGGGAATATGTATATGTGTCATTAGGTTTCCTGCAAATTAATAGCGAGAGCAGAGGTCAGGCAGAAATTTTCCACTTGACTGCAGCTCCTCTGTTGAGATTTGGCACTTTGTTTTGGAACGGCCACAGCTGCTCAAAGCCACAGTCTTCCTTTAGGAACTGTCTTTTAATTAGTTTACCTCATAGCCATTATTACAAATATTACTGCCTCCCCTCCTTGAAATAAAATTACTGTTTCTACAAAATATTCCGGTGACATCTTGCACCACTGCACATTGATGGTGGGGTCACTTGGATGCAGCGTTTAATCATTAGATCACCTCCATAAGCATCTCCTAATTAGAGTCCTTACAATACAATTTTATCTGGTAATTAGCTGAGATTGGCTGCTTCCTCTGTAGCTTATTAGTGGCAGCCCAGCAGTGGGTGTGAATCACAGTGTCATTTGTCAAGCCTGTTAAAGCCCCCCCCCCTTTGCTCGTCCTCTTCTGTGTTTATTCCTCGTTGCTACCTACGTTGAAAAGCCTAAAGAAATTTAACTCGATTCAGATTCTTTAAGCAGGGAACGCTGACCTTTGTGGATCCTTTCTCACAGTTCCCTAGTAGAAACAGATTAAATGTTAAGTTTTTACATGCTGAAAAAGGAAGGGGACTCTTTTGAAATGGAGTAGTTGGAGCTGTAATGATGAAGCAGGAGCAGTGATCTTTCCAACGGGAGGGCCCTGCTGCCGAGCCTGCGCTGAGATGGGCACTTCAAATTGATGCAGATTTGCTTGCAGTTATTGGACTGTTAAAATGTCCATTTAGAAACTGAGATAAAATACAGTAGATTTAATTTCGTGGTGAGACCTGTCAGTTGCACTGTTATTATCATCACTGGTCCTTTTATCATATGTAATAGATGGATAGATGGATAACAGGGAGACATTACTATAGATATGTCCCTAATCAGTGTCCTTAAATCACGCCAGTCAACGAGCAGGCTGGGCAGCAGGTGGTGGCAGTGCCCAGCACCGTGAGGGTTTAAACACCTCCAGGCTGCAGGTAGTGGTTCATGCCCATGCTGGAGTCTGGGAAGTCAATACTTGTATTTCTGCACCTTCCCCATCCCTCTCTTGAGTAACACTCTCTGGCTTTGCTGCAAAGTGTTAAATATTTCCCGCTGGCAGGTGAGGAGTTGTTTGTAAGCACCTGCACAGGAAGGTGGATGTTTGCAGATCTGCTGCTCACTACCTCGTTCCCTTGGAGCAGCATCAGAGCTGTGTGGCACTGGGCTGTGCCAGGCCATTGTGGCTGGGGTTTCCCTCAGCTCACTCTCTTGCTGTCAGGAGGGAAAAGCAATCACAATTTATCTTCCCTCAGCTGCGCCCTTTCTGTGAGCAATGGGCTTTTTGTGTTGGTATCCTCTCTAACACTACGGCCCTTTATTTTCCACTACCTTTGTTTTGGATAAATCCTATTATTTTTATAAAGAAACGTTATTTGTGGCTATTAACTCATATGAGGGATGCTAATGGGAGTTTTCTTATCTGGTTACTTTCATACGAGGAAAATTAATACAGTGCCTTATGGATAAACATGAGATATTTGGGGGCATAGCTGCATCGTGTGCCTTGCCTTCATCTCAGAAGGTTTAATGTCCAGCAAAAAGGAATTTTAATCACGAACAAAAGTTGTAAAATTCTGGCCCTGTTAAATTCAGTAGGAATTTTGCTACCGACTTCAATGGGGTCAGGATTTCACCAATATTATTTGCGAAACTGCCTAAGGGAAGGAAATGTGGAAGTAGTCAAAGAGCCCTTTTCTCAGTCGTCTTCTCTGATGTTGTAGTTAAG